AAGAAGCACTTGCTCATGTTCTTGGAGCTTTCCAAAAAGAGTTGTAAGGTCCAAAGTCATAAGATCATTTGCTTCCTTTATGGTCGTGACCTTTGGTTGCCACTCCCTGGTAAGACATCTTAATACTTTTTTCGTAACAACATCATCGGAAATTGGTCTACCAAGTGAATTTAGTCTATTGATTAAATGAGAAAATATCTTTTGCATGTCGGTAATTGTTTCCCCTTGCTTCATGTGAAAGAGTTCAAACTCTTGAGTCAAAGTGTTGATTCTAGCTAGTTTGACATCATTAGTTCCCTCATCGGAAAATTGCAATGAGTCACACGTAGCTTTAGCAGTCATACAATGTGAAATTCTATAATATTCATCAACTCCCAAGGAGGGGATCAGAATATTTCTAGCCTTCCAATTGTAATTGTACTTTTTCTCATCTTCATCATTCCATTATGCTTTAGGCTTAGGCACAACAACGTTATTTTCACCGGTTATGGTAATTTCCATAAGACCGTTCAATATAACGTTCCATACCTTTCTGTCAATGGAATTTATATGCACGCTGATCCGCTGTCGTGCACAGATCAAAAACGAGTATTTTGAAAAAGTATAGTTACGTTAACGACAACTCGAGTATCGTATCGCAAGGATTCTTGATTTTATTAACCAACACAATAAAGATTATGGAGGTTTGACTTGGTGGAGGATTCAATTAAGAAAAACAGAGTAAATAAGTGATTATCAAAATAAGTGATTATAACAGGTTAATCTATAGGTTCGACTACCAACTTATCATTGGTCATTATAATTCCAATTCCCTAAGCGGTTCCAATCCCTATTAGATTGCAATATTGAATAAACAAGCATCGACAATACTACACAACTTATATTCCTAAACAAGCAAATGGTTCATCGAATTAAGCAGACGGTTAAAGATAGTGCAAATTAACGAAAAAACTAAGTTAAATGCGATTAAAGTAAGGAACATATATCAACTGAATTAAATCCAATCTATTCTATAAGAAACGAATTAAGTAAACGAGAATTATAGAACAAACTGGAAAGGAGCTGAATTAAATTGAAATTGATAATAACCTCAAAGTTTTGTGGTATTCGAATTCGGCAGATTGCCCCTTGGGATTAGTTCGTCATGATATTCGTAAAAAGCACAATGAAATTTGTAAAAAGAATATGAAAGTGGCAGTAGCACGGATACTAGGTTTATGAAAGCATCAACACTTCTGGTTTTAACCCAACTGGGTCGAAAAACATAAAAAACCCGGCCCAAAACTAAATATTTCAAACGGAAGATTTCGGGTTCTGAATTCAACGAATTATTTGGACCTGATACACTCCGAATAAGCTTCTGACTCAAATATAAAAGTTATAGCTCTCTGTTTTAGCTTTCCAACGCCTATTAGAACGTGCAAATCTGATTCTCCCAGCTCCAGTTATGATCCAAACAGTGGACAGATATCAAATAACCTCTAAAGCTGAAAATAAGCTACGAAAATAGATTAAAAGCAAAAAAAAAGACTAAATTCTAAAAACACAATAAAACAGTAAAATAAACAAAACAAACTAGGGAAATTCCTAAGTACAAACATAAGAGAGTGTGCATTGAAATGTGTTGATCATACGAGCATACAATCTTTTCAGTAACTACACTTCTCACCGTTGAAAACAGGTGCTCTATTGTAAGCCCCTTTTGGTTCGTTTGCCATATCCTAAGAAGTTATATGCGAAGCACTGGATGAACCGATGCTCTTGATACCACTTGTTAGACGACGGAAATGATCTAGAAGGGGGGTTGAATATATCACTCATTAAAAATAGAGTCGGCGCTTATTGAGATTTGGATTTTAAAAAGTTTTAAGCAGAAGCGGCTGAGGAACTATACTCGTCTAAATGAACTGTTACCAAAAAGATCGGATATACGCAAAGCCTATATAGAGCACCGATAAAGACGAGAATTAGAATCAATAGTTCGAACACAAATCAATCATATTTTGTTCACTTAAAGTTGGACAGTTTCCAATGTGTGTGAAATATAAACCAATTGAAAAACAGCTTAAGTGTTTGTGTTCACGCAATTAATCAAACATTTGATGTGCAAAGCACCACAAGTAAATTTCAATAGGTCAATGAAGTGATATGTTCTTAAATTACAATCAAAAGATTGTAATGAGGTTTCTAAAAATGTTTTAGCACTAACACACACCAAAAATTTAATCAACTAATATGTTTGCACAGAAACTCAAAATTCAGCAATGAAAATAGTAAAAAGAGAGAACACCAATTTGTTGAGGCAGTTCCCCCGTCGTCCTCACTCGGGGTACGTCTCCTCAATTCAAAAAATAGAATTGAGACTTATATATATAACCAGTTGCAAATTATTTTTACAAGAGAGGCAATAGAATTCAAACAATCAAACCCAAATATTGAGGTCGAACCCTCTGGTCTTCAAATCTTGCTCGGCTGATTTCGAACACCAACGATTCGAACTCAAACCTTCCTACCACAATCCTCCGGTTAACGCTACTAAATTAACAGAACCTCTCGTTCTTCAATTACCTTTGCGCGGCTGAATCTGTGAAGGAACGACTTGTGCAAAACCCCCCAAAATCCAAGATAATTGGAAAACAAACCCCTCAAGGTTTTATTCAAGAAAAATCCACTGATTTCTCAACCCAAACCCGATACATCAATCATAAGTTTGGATGTTATCACCTCGATGATGCATAATACACAACAAAAATGATTATGTGTAACTGTTGAGAAAATGCAAGAAAGAGGATGAAGATGATGAGAATCAAATCAGTGTATATTTTCACTTTTGTTGTTATTATGGTGAAGAATGAACTAACTCAATATATATGTAAAGTTGAAACCAAATAACCAACATGACAGTCACTTAGAATGTTAAGCATAACAGAAATTCTGTGAAAAACGCGTGAGCGGTCGACCTAAAACAAGGGGAGGGTCGACCTGAGCTCTCCCGAATTCAGGATTATGCAGGAAACAGCATTTTGCGTCGACCGGAACAGGTTCATGCGTCAACGCAAAGCACCCCAATTTTGACAAGCACAAATGCACACAGAATGAGTCGACCGGAGGGTCGACGCGAGCTCTCCTGAGAGAAAGAGATAAAAATTGACTTTTGTATGAGTCGACCTAAACATGCTATGAGTCGACTCAAAGACTCAGAACTTGCAAAAATGCAGATTTTCATATATTTAGCTACTTCTAAGAGAACCTAATGCATCTCTAACTTGACCAACATGATCAAACTCGTATAGAACACACATAGTGCTCTTTCTATATGTACCTAGACATGTTTTGACAAATGTTTGACACAAGAAAGATAACGTATGCATATGCGACTCGATGATACCGTCCAAAGTACATTTTTCAAACTATATATGTTTTGACATCATTAAAACAAGTATAACCAAGTATGAGGCACTTTGTCCTCACAGACTGGAGCTACATTTAAGGGTATATCAAATAGTTTTTCAGATTGTCACATCCGTACATGGTGCATGTTGTTCCAAGAGACCCACCTGGGACCATTTCGAAAAATTCGGGTGGTATGTAAAAAGCATATAGGGTTCATTGAGAAATTTTCTTTTTTAATGGAATTTTTAGTTTTTAAGTTCATATCTACCCAATTATCTAACCTATTTTTAAATTTTAAAAAAAAATAGATGGATTTGATTGATTTTGTGGGTTGATCCAGCCCATATACATTTCTACTGATTGTCATCAATTAGACCGAAAAGATAAATTGAAGATTAGAACTTTTTTGAGACTTCTTTAACATTATAGCTATGTGATTAGCTCAAATCCCTATTCCTTTTACTTGTTCACTCAATTTTCTATTCTCCTAATCTCATTAAGGATTATGTTTCTTCCACATTCAAATCCCTATTCCATTGCTTGTTCACTCAATTTTCTATTCTCCTAATCTCATTAAGGATTATGTTTCTTCCCCATTCAAATCCCTATTCCATTGCTTGTTCACTCCATTTAGCAACATTTTCCTAAATTTATTCTCCTAATCTCATTAAGGATTATGTTTCTTCCCCATTCAAATCTCTATTCCATTGCTTGTTCACTCCATTTAGGGACATTTTCATAAATTTATTTTTTAATGTTCTTCTATCCATCCACCAATCATACCAAAAATTAGTATTGTTTTCTTCACCAAGAGTAGTAGCTAAGGAAGCACGCCCCATATACATAAGCTTTCATATATATGACAACCAAAGTTAAAATCACCATAAAGTGACTATTGACCTCAAATATTTGATGTGTTGAAACTAACTTTGGAAGAAAGAAGGAGAATCTTTCTAACTTCAGTAATCTCCAACAAGTCCCAATTAACGTTTTTGAAATGGAGAACAAAGAAACAAAGATAACTCGACTAATTTGAACTAAATGCATTTAAATTGTTACTACCTCCATTCTTATTTATAAGAAAATTTTAAGATTTTAAATTCATTAAATAATTAATACATCTAACTTATATATAATCTAAATATATAATTTATTAAAAAAATCTAAAAAATCAAATTTTACTTATAATACATCTAATCTATATATAATCCAAATACATCATTTATTAAATGAAATGAATCTATGAAATCAAAATTGACTTATAAAAGAGAACGGAGAGAGAAGTTCATAATTCAAAATGCTAAACTCACTTCGTAGTCAAAATAATAAATTGTCAATATCCAAAAAACTTCAAAACGTTTAGTTAAACGAGATGGTAATTTTACATTGTACGAACATGATGAAATAGAAAGGCACCATTGTTAAATATATCAACATACAAAATAAAAATGGGACCAAAATTATCACCGTCGTCTGGACATTACAATTTCTGTAATCATACTTCTAAAATAATTTTTGAATCAAAATCTATAAACCAGAACATGATTTATCAAAACTAAGCCACAAAACTGCACTCCTTGTATCTTTTGAGAGGCCCGTACGGATCTTCAAGATTCCCCGTTAAACTTAGCTTCATATAAATGTGGTTCCTGCAAGACAAATAACTCACTAAAATATAGGTCTAGAGGAAAGGAAAAAATAAAGCTGCTACGGGGTAGTGCGAATATCAGTCTGTTATTTTAAGTAACATTCTACACATCAAGTATATAATATTAATAAAATTATGAATCCTGAGAAGCCAGCAGAGAACTCATTAGAACATTACCATGAAGATAGCTGTAATCAACCTACGTGCAAACCATCTCATGTGCATTGCCCGTTGTGCAGCACTTGATGCTTCCACTGTGTCAAACTGCAAGTACACAAAACCTGCACTTCTTCTGTATACAAGCAGAACTAGTTAAAGAATTGCAACACATAATATGTGGAAACTGAAAACGTGAAAAGCGTGTAGTAAAGATATAAAGATATACATGACGGATTAATGTGTGCTACACATTTATTAACTTACTTGTCGACATAAATATGCTTCACTCGGCCATACTTAGAACACTCTTCCTCTACATCCTCTTTAATGTCTATATCAAAATCTGGTTCAGTCTGCATTGTAATCTTTTTCATCAGTACTTGTGTGAAATATCACATGGTTATGGTGGAAAGTATATAATCAGTTCATCACAAACCTCGGTGCTTGGATCAAACATATTCTTCAATAATAAACACTCGCTGGGGATTCCAACTGGTTCTACCACAGGGGTAGGCATAACTTGTGTTGGTAGACCGGAGCCCGGTATAACACCAGGATTACTGATAGGCATGCTAAAAGCCTGCTGAACAGGAACCGATCCGTTCACAATTGGCACACCAATGCTGCAGTTTGGAAATACGTGAAAAACTGCGAACAGAATCACAAAAATAAGAGGAAAATATTATACAAACCTTGTGGGAATGTCAGCACCAGCCAACCTTTGCATAAGCAATGCTCTTGAGTGGGCATTTAAAGTCTGCATAGAAAATATAGATAAGTATTTAACTGTAAAGAGGAAAACTTGTTATAATCCAACAAAAAACAATAGTTTTTTTACTAGATGGATAGTGTTGTTAATTGTCATAATTGTTAAGGAAAAAAAAAACAAAGAAACAAAGCCAAAAGAAAGGGGCAACAGAAGTGAGAGTGTGCTGAGAAAAATCCTGGAAAGTAAAACTAACGACCTATTTGTTTTCATAAACAGTGTGCTCATTTCTTGTATTCAATTGTAATAACAAATACCTTGTTATCACTTTGATTTCTGTTTTCATACATTTGTACAGGAAACATTGAAAGCACATGTTTCGTTGTTTCCAACTTAAGTCTTTGAAAACAGAAAAATAATTAACCAACATTTTATCAAGCAAAATAGTTCCTTAGATATTTGCTTGTAACCTAAGTGCAAATTCTCAAAAACACAAAATGAAAACTTACCAATCCACCTTCATCATCATCAAAGTCTGCAGATTTTGCAGTTGTATCTTGACTTCCAACATGATCTGTAACAGATGAAACCTGAGATTTATGAACATCAGTAACAAACAAATAATTTAGCAAATGATTATCAACAAAATTAATAGCAACTAAGTGAAAAAATCAGGCCAACACAAATATTTTTACCTTTATAGTCCTGCCAGCGATCTCCAATTTTCCATTTAAACTCTGAGCTGCCTTGGCATGTTCAAGATGGGCAAACTGTCCAATGAATGCAAGTTAGAGATTTAGTGATAAATAAAAGTATTACCAGAAGCAATATTTCTAAAGACCAAGTATTGGAAGCAAACCTGAACAAACCCAAAACCCTTGCAGTGTCCTGTCTCCATGTCAAGAGGTAGTTGTACAACCTCAATCTGACCAAATGGCTCAAAAATCTAAAACAACATAAAGTAAGGTGTCAAATGATGATAAACTACCACGACAAGATTCTAATATATAAAAGCCTACCAAGAATATTAGACCCAATTTAAAGAAATCAAATTTACTGGTTTCCAGGGACATAAATTTAGTTAAACTATTGCCATTCAATAAAAGTCCCAGCATTTACATTGCAGATAAAGGATGCAGATGCCCTGTGTAAATAAATAAATATGGAAGTATGCCAAACATCAGTATTCTCGCCACAACAGCTAATGAAACAGCAAAAGAACAAAACAAACAGACAAATACCTCTCGGAGATTAGCCTCGGTCATGTTGAAATGAAGATTCCCCACATACAATTTTCTGTCCACTGCTCCATATGGTCCTACTACACCAGCAGCTCCACTGGAAGCATTAGACTGAACAAGATTCTTTTCAGCTTCAGAAGGTTTCACCATTACAGGTTGCCCAAGAAGTAGTTGGCCGGAGATAGCAATTGCCATTGGCACTGACATTGCATCATAAAATTCAATATACCTGCAGCCTCATCAAGAACTTGCATCAAGTTTTCAAAACTAAGAAACAAACAGTTGCAATCAAAACTTAAAAAGAATACAGTAAAGAGATGTAGGGAAACAAAAACTTTAGAGCAGACAGCTCAAGGTGAGTTTGATGCATCTGACTCAACTCATGTAAAGGAAATGTTAAGTCTTTCATAATAAAAATGTAAAAATAAAGCATAAATAACTATCAAATTGACAAACCAGATAGAATAAGAGAACGCCGTATAAGAACGGAAATAGGGAACCATGTAGATAAGGAGGATTAGTAACAGTGTCTTGCATCCATTGTTTAAGTATGTGTGTGAGCGGAGCACGCAAATAAAGACTAATAAAAGATCCCAACTTAAAAGTGGATGATGGCCTGAGTAGTAGAACAGTAACCCACCTACTCGTCAGATGATACTAACAGTCAAACAGAACCAAATATAAGAGCATCACAACACCAAGACAACAATAAATATTCCTCCCACCAAAAACTAGGAGAAGAACAAAGAGAGCAAGAAGTAAAATAAGGGAACTTCTTATGAATCAAACATAAAAAGCTACATGAGCAATGTGACTGACTTCTAATAAGGAAACACTTAAAAAGGGTTATCAGTATACAAATTAAATCTTCATTGTATGCCACTTAAAAGGAAAAATATTTGAGACTGGGAATTCCCACAATGCCATAGCATTATGGCATGGCTAAGCCATTTAAGAATACAGTCAAACATGAGTCTTAGAAGCTAATATTCAAATGCAACAAGAGCGCATTCATATAAAGAGTTTGTTTGATCATTTAGGACATACCCAACTCCTTTAGATCGTCTTGAGTTCCGATCCATGATTAGACGGACATCTCTCACCTGAAAATAAGTAACAGCAAATTAACAAAAGGAGGAAGTATCCTGTATAGAGGCAGATGACAGCATTCCCCATAAAGCATGCAAACACCCAGTTTGTGGGTACGTGGCAAATCTAAATATCATGATGTAACCACTTATTCACTCAAACAAATAAACAGAATATTCATACACATCAAAGTATCAGCCCTACTTAAAACTGAAAGCAGTGGACAATATATTTCAGGAGAAACCAAGTGCTCAGAGTAATATATATTCATTATACATGGCTGTCCTACTTAAAAGTTAAAACTGAAAGTACTGGACTATTTCAGGAAAAACCAAGTGCTCAGAGTAACATATATTCATTATACATGTAAGATGTGTTTGCTCTATCATATATAACTGTTGTCACTCATCATAATTGAGGAATATCAATAATGGTGATATGTTGTCATAATATGTCAAAAGCAACTAACCTTGCCAGCTTTTGAGAAGAACTCATATACATCTCTCTCTGTTGCTTTTAGAGGCATCTGTGAACACCCAACAAGAAACAGAAAATCATCAGGAAAATTTTGAAAAATATCCCAATAACTCAGAACATAATTAGTATATATTTTACATATTTAAAACAAATGAAAATGGAGGCAATCAATCAACCTGGTAGGCAAAAACAGTTCTCTGATCCCTTTCTGGGTCTGCTTCAGGTTCCACGTTATCTTTCTTATCCCTGAATCTCCTGTAAGTAAATTAAAATGAAGCTGTAAGAAAATATATAGAAGCCCGCATCATACTAGTTGAATTTGGCATTCAGATGTTATAATTTGATCAGTGAATCAATATGCGATTGTCCGTATTAGAGTTCATATTAGCACTCAATCTTCAGAGGGAATAATGATTCAAAATCTGAAGCACGCATTACTCCAATATATTTTGCTAGCATAAAACCTTCAAAACAGCACTTAATAATCGCATACCTGCCAGCACTCTGGCCAGGACTTTTTGGGGGTATTTTTCTTTGTATAAATTAGCCAAAACTGCAGTAAGGATCACGTTATAACATTGTGGTAGCATTTCAACCCATTTACAATAAATTAATGCTATAATACCTTTTAAACTTGAACCCAGGGTATCCTGGTATCCCCGGCTGGGAGCCAGGACTAATCCCTCGAGAGGTACTGAGATCCACTAACGATATATCAATACCTTAAACAGTTGAACCAAACAGCAACTAATTAATGGCATAATACCTAGTTTAGCATCACATTTCAACCTCTCTAATTTCATGTGAGTAAAAAAAATGATTGCATATGACACCAACGGCATAAATAATAAGGACATTGTTATCCATTCCAGCACAAACAAAACATTATATTAACTATATGTATGTAAAAACACATTACCAATAAGCATTGCTTTCATTTCACCCTCTACTTATGTGAATAAATTCAAAACAAATAGTGTAACCATAGAACAAACAAATAATGAAGAGATAAAACTGAATTCAAAAAAAAAAACAGAAAGGAATGTGCAATTTTAATTTTTACCTGCCATCTCTATTTTCGAAATCTCGCTCTCTGTCTACTCTTTCTCCTCTATCTCTCTCGGGACGACTCATACTCCTCCTAGGTCTCTCTTTCTCCTCCTTTTCTCTCTCCCGTTCCTTCTCTCTCTCCCTCTCTCTTCTTTCCCGTTCCTTTTCCCTTTCCTTATCCCTCCTCTCCCTCTCCTTTTCCCTCTCTCTATCCCTATCCTTATCCTTCTCTCTATCTCTGTCTCTACTACCTTTCTCTCCGTCCCTCTCCCTCTCTTTCTCTCTACTACCTTTCTCTCCATCCCTATCCCTCTCCCTCTCCCTGTGGCGGCCGGAAGATCTTTCACGGTCACGATCTTTGTCTCTGTCTCTGTCTCTATCGCGATCTTTTTTAGAGCCATTCTCGTCTTCACCACGAGACCTTTTGCTCCGCCTATCTTCGCCGTTCAGATCGTCGTCAACGTCGCGCTTCCGGTATGTCCTCTCGGATTTTATGTCGGCGGTGTCAATTTTCTTCTTTCTGGAAGAATCTTTGTCTTCTGGCAGCTCCTCCACCGTCTTCTCCAAGTAATCGTACTCGTCGAAGTCCATTGCTAGCTCCCTTGCGAATCCCTCTTCCGATTTTGTGAAGCTTTTTTGGTGCCGGTGTGAACTGTGATGTGAAATTCTAGGGTTTTAGGTTATTAGGTTATTTTTATGAAAATCGGTATATAAGTATTACTTTTTTTATTTAAATACTAATGTGTCCCGTTTGTTTTAATTTTTTATAAAAAATAATTTTTTATAATATTATCTATTTTTGTTACAAAAATATTATAGTTCTTTTTTTAAATTATCATAAATATTTTATCTTTTAGTAATTATTAATAATGTTTTATTACATAATTAAAATTATGTTAAATTATTAATAATAAATATGTATTTATCAAATTAAGATGTCTAAACTCTTTTAATTTATAAAAAATTAATTTGAAATAATTTTTATTTTTAAAATAAAAATATTTATTCTTTTTAAAATTTTAAACACAACACACACATATTATATATATATATATATAAAATTGCTCCGGTTATCACAATTATAATTTTTGTTATAGCATAATTATCAGTCCAAATATATAGTTCCTACACTATTACCAAAGTGACTATGTCAAAAAATGATGGATAATTGCATAATAACACAGTTATTTAGTTTGCAACCGTTGTCTTGTCACATTAAACAACGTTCCTACAAGTGTCACATGTGCATTTAATTAATTATTTAATTGGAAAAGATTGTAAAAAAAATTAATATAAGATATATTGTGATATTTAGTGGGACCCATTTTACAAATTTGATGAGTTGTATGGATATTTAGAAAATGTAGTTGTATTGTTTAAATAATTTTAAAGTGTAATATAATATAAAAAAATATGTGGGTCCCATTTAAAGAACTAAAATGTAGTTGATGAGTGGGGATGTTCTTATTTACTTGCCACATCATCGTTTTAGTGGCAAATCGTGCTTTTCCTTCATTAAATCCAATAAAGTGGTTATTCCATTCAAATCCAATGACTTTTTAGATTGGATTAAACAAGTGATTTTTATTATTGTTCTTTTTTTTTTAAATAAAACATTATCATTCTTTTGACTTTTTGTTCTGGGTTAACTTTTACTTTATCTGGTATTAGGAATAGGAAGGCAACCAAAGGGCTTCAACTTACATCAGGTTGCATGATACTTTTTCATTTCAATGTCTACGGTTCATTTTCCACTTTTGTACTCATTTCACACTAATTCTTCTCCACACGCATGTCTGATTTCATCTCTCTCTTCACTTTTTTCATCTCTTTATCTCTCCTTCTATGGCCAAATCTTAACGCTGAAAAGTATGACCCTTTTCTGCTTTTTGACATCTAGATGACAAGACTGTTTGATATGGTGAAGGAAATTAATTATAGTAAAGAACGGTGGAAGATTGTTGTGAGAATCCATCACATATGCACGGTTGTCTCAAAGAATAAGGAGCACTTCGAGATGATTGTGGTTGATAAAGAGGTTAGTTATTTTTAGAAAATCTTCACCACTAAATTTTTCATTTTTTAACAACTTTCAGTTTTTGGGTTTAGATCGTTTTTGTTTTAAAAAGTATTCCAACTATCGTGATTGTATGTTTAATAGATACTATTTCAAAACAACTATCATTCTTTGGAGTTTTTGTTATTTTGTGATCTCTGAAATTTTAGGGTTAAAATAAATTTGATATGTAAGTCTTCAATTGATGTTTGATTTGAATTTCAAAACTCAGTTTTCATAACTCAACTTAATACATAATTGTCTTTGTTTGCTGCTAATTGATACAAATTGATTACATACTTTGTCTTTCGGGAGACAGGTATTCATATCAAGGTTCAAACTATGTATAAGAAAGTTTTTTATTCGGTCTTAACTGTCAATAACATATATACAAATGCAAACTTTCAAGTGTTGTTAAAGTAATTGTTGTTCAAGCCTTCTCACCACAAATTTCTCTTGATTTTCATTGGTGGCACATCTGTATGTGACAAAAATAAACACAACATACCTCCTAAAACCTTAAAGTTCACACCTTTTGCTTATATTATATATGGGAAATTGGAAAATGATGTTTTAATAGGTATGCGCAAAAATGGCTGTTTTTTTAATATTTTGTATTTAAATTCATTAAGTAACTCAATTATCGTTATAACATTGTTTTGTTTCTTCCATTATTTCCTCATATGTAATTGGAATGGTTGTCGACATTGGTTACACTCAAATTCAAATTGGAAGCAAAAAACAGCAGATCAATTTGGTCTTAAAGGTTTTGGGGTATGTCTATAACAAACTGGCACCATTATAATTTGATTTTGTCTTTCATGTTGTTTTAACTTTTTCTAACTTTCTTCAATTTTATACATGTAGTAACATCAATATAAATTGTATCTTGTGGGAGGGTTACACATTGTGATTCCATGAAGTCAATAAATACATGAAGAATTTCTCTTTGCTAACAATTATTCTTTGTAATTCGCCAAGGTCAAAGTGGAAGGTCTAAAGTTTATCATAATATATAACTTTTCTTGACCATATTTTTGGTTTTTTTGGTTCAGCACGTTTGATAAATCTTTTAAACTATCATGTAGGGAAGTATCCATTATGTGTTTCAAATATATTCAATGTTACTAGGTTGTACATCAATGATGAATTACCTGAGATTACAGATTTCCTGAATAGGTACTACATTTCTGCAACTACTATACTTTCATTATAACTCAATATACATATCTTTTACATTTTTTGTATATTGATCCCTTTATGCTTCTTTTGGCTTAGGATCTCGAAAATGACTTTCATCAAAGGTTCAAGTCAAACGATGACGTCAGAATCACAAAACTGGTCTCAAACTTCTTGTGGTTCTCAACTAAGCCCTTGTGACAAATTCATGTATAAGGTTATAGCTCTTCCTCTCAGTCAGATCATAAAACTTAAAGATGTAACAACTAATCCTCTTATCTCATTTTTCTTACTATTCGTTGGTATGTCATGAGAATAACAATGGAATCCTTTATTTTCTATTGTCTTTCCCTTCAGATCACTCAATGTGTTACTGTAGCTAAAACCGACAAACTAAAAGCGTCACACCGAGGTTGGTACTACCAAGCATGTCATGAGCGTCCAGGGGTTGTTAAGGGATATCAACCACCTTATATATATGGTGTTGGACACAATACGAAAACTGGAATTTACATATCAAACTTCAAGTTCATTAGAAGATTTATCATTACTTTTATTCCTTACTGTATATGACTACTTTTCTTGCCTCCATAGATATAAAATTCTTATTGAAATTGTAAGTGATGGATGTCATGCTACGTTTGTTCTATGGGGCCGTGAGTGTTCATAACTCTTGAGACTTATAATTGCTCAAATGCACAACATCATGCTCGAGGTCGGTTTATATGTTTATATGCTTGAGGTCGGTTATGCACAACACCATGTGAATAATTGCAATAAGTAGAAGATGTATATAGACATTGAGTCGTCCATAATATACTATAACTAAAGTGATTTACAAAAGTAGTTTGATATCATAATTAAAGTACATGGTTCAAAAGAAAATTACACGAGTGCGTAAGTCGTTAAACTACAAAAAGCTTTATGCAACCAGTTACATAACAAATATTCAAAAATGTTGTTACTTATCCAATTTGATATGCCAGTTAAGTTTGGTGGAGGACTGTTCTCCCTCATATAAGTCCTTTGAAGGTGTAGAATAATTAGAAACACGTGAAGCAACCATTTTTTATGTTGCGGTTGGTGTAACTGGTTATGGGTTATGCTCTGAGGTTATTTCAAGGTCCTAAAAGAGGTTTTGAAAAGTTAGGAAAATTACAACAACAAAAGTATTGAAGGAATACATAATGGGAATTAGACATAACACTTTAAATAAATTACAACAACTACATCTCAGTCTTCAATTACCAAAGCCTCATCAACACTTTCATTTATCTATAAAAGAATAAAATGAAAATAAAAATTAATTATGCAAAACTTATATATAGGTGTAGACAAAGAAAAATATAGATTGAAGTAATCAATGTGTGCATAATGTTTGGTGTCACAGTAGGTTGAGACAATGTCTTATGACAAGTAAAAGAAAATAAGTAAGTTGAAATGGAAGAAGTTGATAGATTAAAAAGACATAAATTGGGGGAAAACACTACCAAATCTCGAACCCATGAACTTAATGGTTGTTTGATGACAGTTTCATCTTAATAGATAAAGACAACATATGCATTCTCCAATGATGATTGTCACTTGACCTTAAATGCCATGGTCACACCCACAAAAGCATAAAGTGCTAAAGGATATTCTGGGGAGTCAGCCACTTCAGCGGTATTACAACATGAGGTTAGTCATGTTTTCACCTTCAATCAGCAATAACAACACCATGGAACCCGCCATTATTCTTTTGTTTTTTAGTTAAACACAAGCCTGAAATGGAACCTGCCAATGTAAACTATAACAAAACCCCTGTTTCTATTGCTAGAAAAAAGGCAATTATGTTTGATGAACAGGAAAAACAATTCGATAATCGGCAACAAGAGAATGTTCATCCTTCTTAGCCATACTTTAACATGTCACTCCCATTGGAAATTGTCGTTCTCGACAAATTACCCCTCTTACAATAAATATAACTAATATAAATCATACTACTTCATTTGATTTCTATCACTACGAAAGAAACACTTTAAAAAGAGCAAGAATTCCTATACAACATGAAGTTAATCTTATCAACATCTTCAATGCGGTCACACCTTCTGATATCAACAATTTGGATTATCCTCATTTACAGAATCGTGCTACAACATCTTCATTTATTGATAACATTATATCTAGTAATTATGACAACATTAACAATGCAACATATTCTAATAATGACACATCCAGCCATTCAGAATCGAACAATGCTTTTAATCATAATTTGTATTCAAATGAATATGAAAACTCTCTGCCTTTAGGAAGTTCTCGCCTTCAAGGTTATTTTTTACCCCTTTTAAATCCATAATATATATTGCATTACACATTA